CCCCAGTAATAGCGCTCCTGTCCCACTAATCACACAGAGTAGAACGGACTTTATAGTGGTCCCGGGTCCCCCAGAAGTGCGGCGGGAAGGGGGACAAGGAGGCTGCTACAAGTGATCTAGGCGTCTGTACAAAACAAGCGCCGGCTCCCCCGTTCTACATTTAGCCTCCTTGTCCACAGCAGGGCTCAATGTAGAGGAAAAAAAACACCTACCTGGTGCCCGGAACTGCATGTCCTGGGCGTCGGGCGATAGGAATCCCGCACCCCCTGGTACAGCAGAAAAGCAGCACAAGGGGCCAATCAATTGTGCTGCAGTGCTCACAAGCAGTTGCTGATAGGAGGAGAGAGTAGAGTGGCAGAGAGATGAGCTCATCTGTCTTCTGCATCACCTTTCAATGTCCAGTTGCCTGTAAGTGTCACTTTACTGCATCAGCGAAATCTGGTCTCCTGCCCTCCCAGACAGGGCTGTACTGTGTAGCGGGTTTGTGTAAGTCTCAGGACTGGATGGGCAGCAATACAAATCTTTTGGCCGGTACAACAGCCATATGCAGAGAGTCTTGCTGGCCTTCCCCAAACTGTCACCACAAGGCTAGGTGCAAGTCTTTTGAAGGGGTTCACATTATTTTGGCCATGTAGTGTCCAGCGCTGTGTTGGCTCCATTGAAATCCTAAATAATGATAATATTCATTCTTCTAATAACGAGCTCAAAATAAATGCACCCAAATCTCCACCATCCAATCAGGGGCGTCCCGAGGCCGGGTGACACCCCGCCGTGATGTCATCACATGTGCGCGGTCATCTTATTGACGCCTGCTGGCGGCCATCTTGGTGATGGATGCTGGCAGAGAGAGGAGGGGACGTTCACCCGGCTGGGGTGAGGTTAGCCGCCAGGTCCACTCCTCTTTCCTGACACTGTCGGGGGGTGACACCAAAATAACTGTCCGTCATTTGTGTGTCACCCCTCCAATGGTGTCAGCCGGGTGTGGGCCGCACCCCCCTTGTGACGCCACTGCATCCAATACAATGTCCTAAACCGTAACCTTCCAAACACAATATAAATGTTATGCAGGATATGCTGAGACTTGTAGTCCATCAAACAATAATCTATCACTCTGTGTTCTCTCCCCCAGGGAAGTGGATCGGGACTCCGATGGTTTAGTGTCCTACAAAGACTTTGAATTTGCAATGGACTACGGCGGGCCAGAGGACTAGACTGACTGCATACTAACCCAACATTGGTATACGGGGCGGGGATGGAGGATTCATCATCAGTGCTGCTACATTATTCCCCTGAAAAGTGTGTCCCCAGAAGAGAGACCCCCCCTCACTTCCTGTCCTGTGACACACTGCATCCCAGAGATTGAAGGGTGGGTGGAGCCCTGGTCACTATGGTGAAGGAGAGGGCAGCTCTATGTATACAGGGGAACCCGGAAGAGGTCACCAGAGTAGAGATGCAAAAAGAGGTCAGTGACGTGAGAGCACCAACTGTGTTTCATAGGTCCAGGTGATTTTTATGTGCCAAAGTGAAAGTTACAGGTGACGCGTTTCAGGAGCTGACAGTCCCCCTTCCTCAGGGCTAAAGTGTGTGTGTATATATATATATATATAAGAAATAAAATAGGGATGCACTGATACTGGT